TATTTAGAACATGGATTCAATTATTATATGTAATAGAACTATATTTAAAACGTTAAAATACCGATTTAAACGATTTAAACGCATTTAACATGTAAACGTTTATATTATTGCATTGTCCGTGTAAATGCCAACACTGAAGTTGGTCGCGAGCACACACATTGACGTCGAAATTCCAAAATTTTGGCCAATAACAACGCTGTCCTCATCAGCTGAAAAAGACAAATGTAATAAAATTCCCTGCAAAACCCAACTCCTGCAAAACCCAACTTCGAAATATTATTGCCCAATACAGATTTCAAGATATGTCACTTGTACCACTGGGGAAAGATTTCCGTCGTTCCTAGTACCAACCCACGCAGTTTCTGAAAGAATAGCAATGGTACCAACCCAAAATCTACGAGAATAGCAATGGTTAATTCGAGAATGGCAATGGTACCAACTCAGATTCTGCGTGATCGGAATCCGATGGGCTGGTGGATGGATCCCGACAAGCGAGCGAAATTTCTGTAAATGTAAGAAACATTGGCTCGGGCGTTTTAGGCTCCAGCGGTCACGCACAAAAACTCAGCTCGCTTATCGGCATCCACACTCTGCAGGCAGCTGCCTCGAGTGTGGCACGGTAGCACCGCAGCTTTGTAGCCCCATTCATCTGGGTTGGTACCATTGACAATCAATTTGGAAACTGCGTGGGTTGGAACGTGGTTTTATACCAACTACACCCATAGTAAACTACATGTATAATACAAGTAATAAGCAACATGAATATTGAAATTTGGGTGAATGGATATTAGTTGGCACAAAACCAAGTACCAACCCACGCAGTTTCCAATCGAATGGCAATGGTACCAACCCAGATGAATGGGGCTACAAAGCTGCGGTGCTACCGTGCCACACCTGAGGCAGCTGCCTGCGGGGTGTGGATGCCGATAAGCGAGCTGAGTTTTTGTACATGACCGCTGGAGCCTAAAACGCCCGAGCCAATGTTTCATACATTTTCAGAAATTTCGCTCGCTTTCCGGCATCCCATCCACGCCAGGCAGCTGTCACGCACACAGGTCGCAACCGTAATGGCAATGGCATCAACCCATCTACCAACCCACCGGATTCGGATCACGTTGAATCTGAGTTGGTACCGTGGCCGCGCTCGAATAATCTGGGTTGGTGGTACTGTAGAAGTACTGTTGACACCAACGAAAATCATCACAGTATACAATTGAAGTACTGTATTAAACTGATGAAACTGTATGTCATCACCGGCAATAAACGGATGTATCTTACAATTCACAACATAGTGTGGTTCGATCGACGACCACGGCATGTATGGTGGGCGGATGGAGTCATATGCGGTTCCACGGACACAATCGCGATGGCTGCGAAGAAGTTGTCGTACTTTGAGAAGCTCCCGCTCCCACCCAACTACTTCAAATGCCCACCGTTAACTCCCGATGAAACGAAGCAGCTCTTGTTCCTCGCGGACAGTATGTGCATGGATGTGGTATGGTCGCAAATCCGCCGTGACGACGCGACATGTTTTGACGAGCCCGCCCCCGTTGTTAGGTGGACTACGCCACTCTGGACGATGCAGGGCCGCTTGATTGGACACTGGAGTCGAATGACTGCGGTCTGTTCACGTACAAGACAAACGATCCGAACGCGCCTCGTGGAACTCGGTCGTGGCTATGGACGACAAAGGTCCAAGGGACTCTCGCGGAAGTGGCGGCCATGTTCAACCCCGCCGAGCTGGACGACCCAGTCGAGTACCGCGAACACTGCCGCGCCTTTCACATGGACGCGCTGGACGGCGTGCGGCTGTACACACTCGAGACTCCAAGCGCGAGTTTGTCGCACGGGGAAAGCGGCCAGTACGTCGGAGTCCACTGGACTGTGAACGAGCTCCCGGGACTGCTCAAGAACAAGGACGTGTGCGTCGTGAAGAACCGCGACTGGTGCTTCCTCGAGGTACAACGCCATCGATTCGCATTGTCGACCCCAAGAACTGCGTAGTCGCACGCCCCGATAGTGCTGGGCGACGGGCGCCATGGCTGGGTCCGCGCGTTGTCGTCAATAGAGCTGCACTGCTGCCCCGACCTGAAGCCATCGCTCGGATTCATCCGCGCCAACTATCATCGATCCGGCTACGTCTTTGCCGAGAGCCGCGACTATCCGGGTTTCTTGGACGTGACACAATTGCAACAAATCGACTTTCGGGGCACGCTGACCGACCTCGTTGCCGCAATCGAAGTCGCCGAGCGAAAGCGAGATATGCGCGAGCTCCAACACAAGCTGACGTGCCACCGACTAAGCCAAATGACGTTCCTGGCAGAGTACCAACTCGTCCCAAGTCAGTCGCGGAACAAGTGCAGGGTGTGTCTCGCCAAGTTTGGGGTGCTGGTGCACAGACACCGCTGTCGGAAATGCGGCGAGGTTGTGTGCTCCAAATGTAGCAAAGTGTGGCCGATCAAAGTTGCTGGAATCCATTCCAATGTCCGCGTGTGCACCCCATGCGCGATGTGCGTGAAGCGCCCTCCGTCGTCCTGTCCCAATGGGGTGCTCCGCCGGGGCACGAGTACGTTTGCCGGCATGTCGACCGCCTACCCCCGCGAGCCCAGTGACTTGGACGAGACAGCGTCGATTGCGTCGTCGTCGAGAGCGTCGGTCGTGTCCAGTGAGTCAGGGGCCAAGCTGCGCAGGTCCCACCGAACGCTCATGCCCCCACCGCTGCGAGACACCTGTCGTTTGCTCACGTTGAATGACGACACGACCAGTTGCGGTAGCAGCAGCCGCGACTGCTACGTGAGCACGAGCGACTACAGTCGGCACAGCGACGGAGACGACGATTTCTCTCGGTACTCCGACACGGCGGTCGGCGAGCCCGCGGTGCCAACGGATATGGCGATGTGCTTAAGCCCGCCGGCGCGGCGGTCGACGGATCTGTCGTCATCGCACGCGAACGACATGATCAAGGTCGACTTTAGCCAGTGGAGTTGCTAGCCCACGCGAACTGCTGTAGTAAATTAACGTGGACAAGTGCATGTGGCTTCAAGATGTGCCACGTCATCGTTGGGATTTGAACGGTCGACATGCAGATTGATGACGCTTTGATGCAAGCGCGGGGCGGAGGCGATGCACCAAATCGCAAGACCGCACTTGGAACCGTTGGGTGGTGAATTCGAAACGACCACGTAGTCCAGTCAGTCCAAAGTCGGCGCATTCCCGTCGTCAGCGCGTTTTGCGAACAAGTCCGTGGCATGGAGACAGACGTCGGTCGGGGTGCGTTTGTGGATGAACGAGTCGTCGGGGTCGGTCCATCCCTTGGAAACGTCCACTGTCGTCGCACGGGTTTCCAAGCTGCCGCATACACATTGGACGAATTCCCACCAACACAGCGCTAAATAACCACACAACCTGTCGTGGATGAGGCAGACGACGTTGTCCGGTCCACGGACCGTTTTGCCTTGGCTTGTTCGTGCGCGTTTCGATCGGCCACGTGACGGTACCGTCGTCTATTTTGGTCTGTTGAGCCACAACACCACTTTTGGTGACGACAGGATGGCCAAAGGACCAGTGATCCCCGAGAACGGACGAGGGCAAGTCGACGTCGGCAAGACAGGTCGTGCAAAATCGTACGCGTCGAGCATGAAGAATCGCATTTCCATTCCCGAGCGAGCGCTGTTTGGCCAGGGCATGGTCCTCTCCGTGTTGTACCTCGGGTTCGCGACTGTGGTGGCCGTGAGCACGTACTACCTCAACAACATTGCCAACACACCCGTCCTCTATGACGTCGTCATGCAAGCGTTCGACTACAATCAATGGGACGTCCCGGTCAACACGCTCCTCCAGGGATTTGGCGACATCAACATGACGTACTCGTCGTCTCCTATCGACAGGACGGTCTCCCTGAGCAACCTCCTCTACAAGGCGTGCGGGATGAACGACCAGGGGTGCGCCGCCACGTTCCTTGGCGACACAAACCAGGTCTGGATGGCCGTCGGGAAGGCGTTTTCGCTCATTCCCAACTTTGACCAGCCCCTCTTCCAAGACCCGACCAAGCTCGTCAAGTTCAAGCACATCAACAACCTGAGCGGGTGGAACAAAGCGGTTGTCCAGTTCTACATCGATGGCCACGACATGGCGATCACGTGCATGGTGCGCCGCACGAGCTTCTACTTGAGCCAGGAAGCCGAGTCCACAGCGACTGTCGACTCGCTCGCGTACTGCTCGGAGCGCAAGTATGACCCGAAATGGATGTGCGAGAACGAAGTCGGCCTCGACGTCAACACGTACGCAATCCAGGTCAACAAGGGCGTCGCGACCTACATCGGCGTATGCAAACGCAGTCAGATATACCTCCACGCGGGCCACACGGCCCAGGTCACGGGCGGGCTGAGCGGCAGTCAGTTCATTCAGACTGTGCCCGCCGTCATCGAGTACATGGGCGGGATCATCCAGGCGAGCGCGCCGTGGGACGTCCTCGGAGTGTCCCAATGCTACACGTACAACTTTAACACGAACCTGGGGTGGCTGCTCCAGATTCAGGGCGTCGTCACCATGACGTGGAAGTGCGACTCGCTCATGGTGACCAACTCGATCGTGCTGTGGGCCATGTCGATATACCTCGTCGCGCTCCAGCTCATCTTCCTCCGTCGGAGCGTCATTTGCAGCGTCCCGGTCGACATGTCCAAGTCGATTATCGGCCTCGCGATCCTCTTCGTCGCGTTCTACGGGAACGAAAACCTCCAGGCGCTGACGACGTTCCTCATCCAGAACCCCGTCGGTGGCTTCCCGTCCATGTTTTACGCGCTCTGCGGCCCTGCCCAAGTCGCGTCCATCGTCGGCATCATGACTGGCACACTGATCCAGATCTGGTTCAACCCGCTCGTCGTGACGCAGACGTGGCTCGTCATGCTCTTCAGCTGCATCAACTGGATCGTCGTCTTTGTCCTTGAAGGCTTTGTCTTCCCGTACATGAACTTGAACATACCAGGACTTTGCGGCCTCCCTACCTCCACGAGCTGCTTGGTCTACAGCGCCATCGATCGAACGTACTACCTGTCGGCCATCATATCCGGGGCCATCGTGATCCTGGCCAT